CCCCCCCCCTTCTTAGAGCATTGTGTCCTGAGCTGCAGTATTATATTGTCATGTTGACTTCTCTTCAGGCTGTTGGCAGAGGGACATTTGGAGTTGTCTTCAAGGCCGTGTGGAAAGGACAGGACGTAGCCATCAAGACCATCGAGAGTGAAAACGAAAGGAATGCGTTCCTAGTTGAGGTACTGTGAACGCCTTTCAGAGTCAAACCTGATTGGTTGGAGCTGCTAGGTCAGTGGTTCTCAAACTTTTTCTGTCGTGCCCCACTTTGGAGGAAGAAAAATGTTCATGCCCCACCGCCCCAACAAAATTGTAACAAAATGGTCCATGTTGAATTTTTATTGAAATAACATTTTGTGACTCCTCCGTCCATGCTTTATCAAATAATAGAATAAAGAAAATTGCAATCACTTTTAAGTAAACCAGATTGCTCCATCAGACAAAAACAAATACAATGTGCAATCACTTTGTTAGAACAATGCAAATAAAGTTATATCTGTGCAAAAAAGAACTACAATTTGGCAAAAAATAGCTTATTGCAATTGGCTGATATGAGATGCTAAGTCATAATTATGAGATGCTAAGTCATAATTATGAGATAGTATCTCATTATAATGACTTACAGGATCTGTAATTTTTCCTCATAGTGGCGGAAACGGGCTTCCATACATTTTGCCATGTATTTATTAATTACTTAAAAAAAAAAAAAAATAGATTCTGCATTTCCCCCTGCACCCCACCTGTAATACCACCGCGCCCCACTAGAGGGGCGCGCCCCACAGTTTGAGAACCACTGTGCTAGGTGGAGCCATTTAACTAGACCAGGGGTGTCAAACTCATTTTCACTCCGGGCCACATCAGTGTCATGGTCGCCCTCAAAGGGCCGGTTGTAAATGTAAGACTGTATAACTGTGACTACTCCCTAACATATTGGTAAATAACTGTCTCTGCATTTGATTATTGTTTATTCAAGTGTTAAAATATTGTACATGCAGTTATATAAATGAAAAATGATATTTAAACACATTTCTGTTGTTATAACTTAAATCATTTTAATTTAGGGTTAATAAACCCACATTACTCTATCAAAGATCAAACTATTAAAGAAAATAACAAAGACAAATATCAACAAACACAAGTTATTACATTAACTTTGTTCAAAGCTATTTTTGTCACCTCTCTGCATCACTAATGTCCCCGTCGTCGTCCCGTGCATGGCAGCTACATCCAAGAGCTCCTCACTGAGTCAGGTCTTATAAACATGGATAGATGCGCTGTATCCGTGTTGTCTGTGCTTTCATCAACAGCTAATGAAGAAGACGAGTACCTGCTCGTCTCTTAGCTAGCTGTGTTGTTAGATTGCTGCTAGTTCCTGAACTCGGTCTGTGATGGTGTTTCTTCAAAACTGACATTTGTAAAAGTCTGTATCTGGTCGGAGCTCACCTGATCACATACCTTTAGCATGCACTGGGCTGTAGCTTTTGTAAATATATTCTGCTGTGATTGCAGTCTGCCTTTTAATTCTTGGACAATTTGATGTTTTTCTTGGAGGCTAAATTTAGCTCCGTGTTTGGTGTCAAAATGCCGACGTGAATTATATTCCTTCATCACCGACACTGCTTCATAGCACAGAAGACAGACCCATTTTTCTCCTTGAAGAACAAACATGTATTCGCTTTCCCATCTTAAATTACATTTTCTTCCCTCTGCATCAATTTTTCTCTTCGTGGACATGTTGGGATTATTTGTCGATCTTTTTCAACTCAATCACTTGGAAAACCTCTTTACGGGCTGTTGCCTCTCCTGTCCACCTGTTGTGATAGTTTTAATGTCGGTACACAGACAACATGCTGTCTCATAATTTCAACGTTCTATCTCATAATTTCGACCATGGGGATACTTTTAATTTCTTTTCCAAAATTAAAATTTTTTTTTTTTTTTGCTGGCGGATTCGTGGGCCACATTAAATGACGTGGCGGGCCGGATTCGGCCCGCGGGCCTTGAGTTTGACACGTGTGAACTAGACTGTCCCCGACCAAAGACATTGTTAGTTGACTAACACTCTTACGGTTTTGGAGACTAATCGATTATTTGATTTAATCAAGGTCGAAGAATCGCACAAAAGCGCCACTCTTTTTTTAATCTAGTGCTCATAAATCATTCAGCATGAAAAAGCATAAACAAATGGAGAATCGACTAAAGAAGTCTTAGTCAGCTTGGATCTAAACGAGCGATTAGTCGACTAATCGACAAAGATGGGGCAGTCCTACATTTGAGGCCGTAGTTTGAGGAATATGAAAACATATTTTATAGAAAACCATTTTTTTCCCCGTTTAAAAGAAAGAAGCCAAAGTTCTCAGAAGTGAAATGTCTCTAACCACAAGCAGCCCTACAAAAACTCTAAAATACCTTTATAATGTATGAAATTTGGATTTATCTCAGGAACTACTTGATCAAATAATGAATTGTTTGTTACTGTGACCTTTTGTACTGTAAATCTAGGCACATGTATGTTGCATATTGTTTTCATACATCAAAGGTAATAAGTAATATGTGGAGAGCATTATGATGATATGTATACCGTGAATCTGTGAAAACCCTTACATGAGAATCGCCATAATACCTGTTCAGTATGTAATACACACAGACCTACAGAGATGAACATATTCATGGTAATAAGTCATTTTTCCTGTGTGCACAGCTCCGCCAGCTGTCCCGGGTGAATCACCCCAACATTGTGAAGCTGTATGGCTCCTGTGACAATCCAGTGAGTATACAACGCGCTATGAGCTTGAGTGTCGTCCATCATATCAGCGCCCTCCTCTCGTGATGTGTGTGGTTCCTGAATAAACTGAGGAGCACATCACCGGCACTTTAGGCTGCATCCACACTAATACGTTTCCATTTCAAAGCAAAAACCATCTCCGTCCACACAGGCGTATTCGACATGATTTCCGTCCATACTAGCATGCCTGAAAACGAATACCACATGACTATTCACGTACACTGGGCATGCGGGTGCCGGTGTAAACAGGAAGTAGAATGGTTGCTTAGTTACAGAAAATACGACGGAGTGTTAGATCATAAAAGTCACGGTTCAGATCGTATCACGGATCGGAGTCAAAATCGGATCAACACAAAAGAAAAATGGAGCAAACAAAACGTTCATAGATCCCTGATCAGGTTGTTTTGCCGCTGATACTAATTGCCGATCCATATTAGCAGATACAGATCCCTTGTTTGATTATAGCAGCTGGTCTACAAGGATTTATACAATTTATTTTTTGCCACCATCCCAAAAATCATTTCAATGACTCTGAAGTCTGTAAACAATAAAGTTTTAGTTTAATGATGTATTATAATCTGTAATGTAAACAGCTCATAAGTCATCTCTAATATCTATTTATGTTGTTGTGAAAACGTCTCCTTCAAACAACTGCATTTATTCAAGTTTGTCACTAACACTACATTTTACAGATCACATGTGAACACATCATGACAATGTTATAATCTACCTTCACCTAGTACTCATATAACCGAACAGAGCCTGAACGCATCATAATGTAACTGAAGTGAAGCTTTGTTCGTTAGCTCTCCTCCAGTCTCTTTAAAACAATGTCACATTATCAGACATCAGTGAACAGAAAGCATCAATGATGTCCTGATCACATATTTCACTGAACATTGGTGTCAGTAAAACTTTATTTCACACTGTGATGGTGAAGGTGAACTGTGTCATTAATCCACGGTTCACACGTGTGCTGAACTGTGAGGGGGGGTCATCAGGATCAACAACAATCTGTTACACCACTAGTATTTTAGTAGTCTTCAATAATAAAAGGTTGTAGTGACTTTAACAAATATCCATTTTTATATATTAAAGCCACCGGGGGGCGAACGGGAGACCTTGTTCGGACGCGTGTTCCACAAACATTTCAATGTCCAATGCTCTCTTTCTTTAGATCCGTTGATCCTTTTATTCAAATACATATTGGCACCGTAACAGAATACAGGATACTTTAGAGGATAGTATAAGACCTTGAAACTAGCTCACATGCCGGCTGACACGCTACATTGACACGACACCTTGACACGGTCAAAAACTGTTGGCTTCCCGTCCAGACACACACACCAGATCCTCATTATCAGGCACTTACATACCGTATATGCACTTTTAGGTTAATGTGCCACCCACTGTTCAATGTCAGAACTGCATGTGTACACACCCCATGTTTCCCTCAAAGACATAAGAAAACAACAAAACCACATTATGGCTCCAACAAAGGCCATGTTTGATACTTAAGGTCTTCCTTTAAAATCTTCCTCTATAAACTCAAACAGACACATTTCGTGGAAAAAAAACTTTTCAAACTTGGTCACAAGGCTGCAGGTCTTGCTCCATCTCTCTCTGCCACACACATTCCATTTACTATAAAATGAACACTTACAAATCAAAGTTCATATATATTTATGGATCCATAAATGAGGTCAACACACGTCTCTCACTTGTTTCCTCGGTTTCGTTGTCTGTTCTCACTCGTAGCTCTGCTGGTGGCTGAAGACTCTGTCACACTGGAGAACATTTATGCTTTTGTTCCTTTACAGTTTCTGTGTGGACTTCACAATAGTTGTGCAGAACAAAATAAGCATTAATAAGGACAGCGAAGTCCTCTGTTTTGTGTCCATCGTCTTCCTCAAGGCCGCTAACTGTAACTTCAAACGTCCGCTCCGTAGGTCTGATACGCAGGACACGCTGCTCGCTAATCGCTCCAATAACAGCTGCTTCCTCCTCATGTCGGCAGTAGTATAATTAAAAAATGTAAACGTAGTAGTGTGGATGTAGACTTTGTTGAGATTAGTTACAGAGCCAACCCCAAGACGTGTTTGTCGCTCCACAAAGGGGACGTGTGAACGTCTCGTCAGGTAGCCGCCAGTGGCCGAGCAATGAATGCAGCTAAGCTTACAGGAAGTTACAGATCACCAACGCCTCACTGTCATGCTTTCACTGCTAAGGGAATGTGATGTGTGTTCTCAGGTTTGTCTGGTCATGGAGTATGCAGAGTGTGGCTCTTTATACAACCGTAAGTCCTATTATGTCTGTAGAATATTCTTGATGATTCATGTTGACTGGGCGTATTGCACATGATGTACAATACAGAACCGGTTATGTTGTTTCATTTCTTCTGGAACTTACTTATGGTTACACTGTTTAATGTAATAAATGTATTTTTTCTATGTTGCTTCTGAAGCTAGGCACGAAAGAATTGCACTACACAATGTAAGGTGTAGGATCGTGTACGTACCACAAAAATGTTGATTTAATTTGTATCATGATCAACAACATAAGCTTCTTAAGAGTCTTATTTAAAAAAAAAAAAAAAAGATGTAGTGGCAATGTTGGCACACCTTGGGCTGAATTACCACAGCATGTCAGGGCTATTGTTAAAAAAAAAAAGTACAAAAAAACAATAAACTTATATGTCAGAGCTGGGGGGGGGGGGGGTTTTCTGTGATTTAAGTGGTGAATTTACAAGAAAAAACAAATGCACAAGAAAAAAAATAATATTTAATGTTTCTCGCAAATCTATGACTTTATAATTTTTGAAAATATATGTATTTTTCTTTAAATCTCATAAATGTACCACTTAAACCTCAAAGAATATCCGACTAGTTTGTTTTTCTGCTAAATATACGACATATGCAAAACCCCACTGATGATACCATCCACGCTCATCACACAAGAGTTCCACAATGGATTTGAGATTGGCCCCGTGTCTGTCTTCATATCTCATTCTTTTCTTGTCTCCCAATCCAAGTCCTGCACAGTGCCGACCCTCAGCCCCACTACACGGCATCCCACGCCATGAGCTGGTGTCTGCAGTGTGCCCAGGGAGTCGCCTATCTGCATTCTATGAAGCCAAAGGCCTTAATCCACCGGGACCTCAAACCACCCAAGTAAGTCTCTTTATGATCAAACAGACTGAAAGTCATACAGGTCAGAGTGTTTGTTAAAATCACGGTGATGAGTCACGAGAAGCTTTAAAAGAAAAGATTTGTAATAATGGAAGACTGCACTCAACAACTTGAGACGGTCCCCGTGATGTCTCCTTAAACTGCTGCCGTGTTCCTGAAAGATGAATGAGCTTCTAGCTCTGCACGGGCCACCATCTGCTGATGCTACAGGGAAATGGATTCTGGGTAATTGTGGTTTAGGGGTTGACTTGTGAAATATGAGCTACGGTCGCTGATTGGTTCATGTCGCCGGGCTTGCACAGCCCGAGGCATGTTTAAGAGGAAAGCATGTATGGAAATGCCTGATGAGAGCTATACACAAGATGTATGGCCTCTACAACTGGAAAAGAAAAGTCTATATAACACAAAGGAAAACTCCCCTCTACATTTATCCTCCACTTTTAGATTGATGTAATAAATGATACACTCTCTGATGGCTTGCCTCCAGTTTGAGCAAGAAAGCCCGTTATCTAATATGAACTACCTATTCACATTGACAATGAAATATTGTATTTTCATTTGTACTTTTTCTCGACTATGTCTTTTATTTTGGTTGATGGCATGGCACCGTTAGTTGGCAACGTTAGTCTTGGTTGGTCGGTTTCTTTCGTGCCAGACTGAATTCTGTTTAATGGATTGCCGTGGCATTTTATTCAGACATTCACGGTCCCGTCCAATACTCTGTTTTATGACCAAATACCTGCAAAGGTTTCTATCTGAACTCCTCATTTTCATCCACAGATATGTTTTGTAGAAGTGAGTGTACAACACATTGTCTTCAGCCTTTAATGGCCGTCCACTGTACTGTTTCAGTCTGCTGCTGGTGGCTCGTGGCACCGTGCTGAAGATATGTGACTTTGGAACAGCTTGTGATATTCAGACCTACATGACCAACAATAAGGGCAGTGCAGCCTGGATGGCACCGGAGGTGTTTGAAGGTGAGCTGCAAACACTACTTTTGCTCCAAGCGAGAATTTAAGATTAGTTTTCCACCATCTGGATCTGTATTTTTTTAAATGTGTGTGTATATACGCATATACATATAAACTCAGAGATTTAATTCATGAGAAAAAAACTCTGTTTAAATTGGCAAATTAATGAGAAAAAAGCATACAAATTGACGAGAGAAGTCATGAATTTATTTATTTTTCTCATAAATTTTGTTCTTGATAATCTCACAAATTTGTGAGTTTGTTTCACTTTTATTTCTCTCTGAATATTACAGCCCTCCCCAGGCTCTATTCTTTTTTTTTTTTTTTTTTTTTTTTTTTTAAACCTACAAAGGCCCTAAAGCTTTGTTTGAACTTGCTCTTGACGTCGTAGCGCGAGCCTCCGAGCATGAACGTCGGCGTTTATACTCAAAAAGACACCCTAACCTAACCTCCACAATGCGCAGGATGAATTGTAATTATCTGTAAACTCATACCTCATATTCATGGACTACTTTATTGCCTTCATACAAGTCCTGTAGATAAAGAAGTCAAGTATTAAATGCATTATAAAGACACAAAGGTTGAATATCCTGCAAACTATTTACTCAAATGTAGATCGTTAACACCTCTTGTTTCTGAAGCATCTGAAAACAAATAGTCCATCTTTATATAGTGCCTAGACATGTAAACAGTGCTTGTATCAGTCAACTATTTGTGACAGTCACATGACCGCGCCGGCTTCACTACGGTGAGTACAAACTACGCTTAATACGGCGTCACATAAAACAAATAAAAGGCAACCTGGGAAGAAAATATATCACATTTTTCTTTATTTGACTTTAATATACAGATTTCTTGTGCTGCAGAATCAGTAACGACACGTTCTATACTTGTCTCTCATTCTGGTGGTATATGTGGGCCGCCTGTGTTCTGCAGAGATGTTCAGACACATTGTTTCCCCTGACCAACTTTTACCGACCACCAGTCTGATAGCATTGCATTAAAAACTCTAAACATATATAATTCACTTTTTATCAGCTGTATACTACTAGCCCAGTCAACCTTTTGTTAAACATGAACAAATACATACAGAGTATGAATGGCAAATAAATGAATTTTATGATCTAGTTTATGTATAAATATGAGCAAATTGCTGACATTTTGCTAGCTCTGGCTAATGTTCCGCTCTCTCCACTAGCACCTGTGCGATCGGTACTGAGCTACTTCATCATCACCTGCGTGTGAGCCATCTCGCTTCCTTCTCGTCTCTGTTGACAGTTGCACATGCTCAGTGCGATCGGGCAGGTGCTAGTGGAGAGTGACATTAGCCAGAGCTAGCAAAGTTTTCACAATTTGGTCATATTTATACATACGCTGGGAAGACTGTCAAACTAGATAATAAAAGGAAGTTTTATGGCATTAATTGATTCATACACTGCATATATTTCCTCTTTACACATTTATTTTACATGCAGCAGGTGCTGTTAAACACGCCCTCATTGCATACACTCGCATGCGTTGCGATTGCAGTGTTATGAGGCCGGAAGAATTGGATTCGGCTCATAGCTTATCAGCATCACCAGCATCATTTTTCTGCTTGTGGATATCAAGTCGTGAAGACGGTGAATCTAAGTGTGTGTGCGTGTGTGTGCGCGTGTGTGTGTGTGTGTGTGTGTGTGTGTGTGTGTGTGTGTGTGTGTGATCCCTCAGGCAGCAACTACAGTGAGAAGTGTGACGTGTTCAGCTGGGGCATCATCCTGTGGGAGGTCATCACACGCAAGAAGCCCTTCGATGAGATCGGCGGCTCTGCGTTTTGTATAATGTGGGCAGTCCACAGAGGTGAGAGAAATCCTGTTTTTTTTTTTTTTTATGATGTTCTGCTGCATTGATTCTATTTCCTTTAAAAACAACAACTATCCACCGTGAGTTTGATGATAGAAGTGCAGTGGAGTACTCTTTCAATGAAAGTGCATCTTTCGGCCACTTTGAGCTCTTTGTTTTGGTTTGCTCAAACAGAGTCCCACTGCTCATCATGGTAAAGAGAGGAACGTTTCTCAGGAGTGAGCTGGATGTGTGAGGGAAGCTTTTTGTGACATTTCTGAGCTTACCAAGGTTTCTTTCATCTTTGATCAAGACAACTAGATTAGTCAGAATGCTTCCTCATTTGTTTTATTTCTACATGAAGTAGAGTGTTTCACCAACATTCAATCAAGCAGCCACTGCAGGAATGCACTACTGTTGTAGTTGAGTTTTTCTTGTGTGACATTTCATTGTGGAACCCTGTGTTGTACGGTGACAGTAAATGAACGAATTAAGGATTACTACGTATACTCCCGTGGTGAGTGAGGTAAAATGAAGTCCCGTGACTTTGAAGAGATGTCTGTCTGACGGCGAAGTAAAGTGGCTGTGGACGGGACACCTAAAAAATATCAATATCTGTTTAATTGTACGCTATATTTAGAACATTTTCACCTCTTTACCTTGCCATCAGTCAGCCTTTTCAGACGGGGGAACTGAAGACGTTCCATTTCTCCCTTCAAAGCCACCAGACTCAATTGACAAAATCAGTAATTTGACCTCGCAGAAGACATAGTTGCTGGTCTGCCGTTGCATCAATCGGTTGGTTTGTTTGTGTCACTGTGACTTTCGGATCCGGACTAATGTGGCGTCAGTATAGCTGGTCACATTTAGACATCCCAGGCCTCTGACTGACTGACTGAGTGTTCACTGTGACGCAGGTACACGGCCTCCTCTCATCAAAGACCTCCCAGAGCCCATAGAGACTCTGATGACCCGCTGTTGGGACAAAGAACCCAGCCAGAGACCGTCAATGGAGGAGGTCAAGAACACCATGAAACATCTCATGAAGGTATCATCCCAACACGTACTGTTAAATCTGTTATTCTGTACTAAACGGAGGAAATATAACATACTGCTTTGCTTTACAAGTGTATTTTTGAAAAGCAGGCGCTCATTGTGACAAGTTGGTCTTGAACGAGCCAAACAAACTGAACCTGAACTAAAGAAAAAAGTTTGAAAAACTCTGAGATAATGAGATCTGACAAAGTCAAGTCTGATTCAAGAACTGACTATGAAACACAGACCCGATCACATCCATCCACGGACCCGAGAAGACAAAAGTCCTGCACATATGAAACATAAAGCACTGAGGATAATATTACAGTGAAAACCCAGAAACAGAACAGCTGCCACAAACAGAGCAAGAACAAGATGTTTTGGAAGCCCGTTGGAGACATTGACGGGAGTAGAGATGAAGTCAACACTTTGATCTCCTGGCGTGTCAGAACTGTGAGTTTTCTTTGTATCGTATGAGCTGAATATGAACGTACAAGATGTGTGAGATGCAACATAACAGCACCCAATAGGATACTAGCTAGGGAATTTATTTTATAGCAGGAACATGAGATGAAAGCTCTCTTCAATTTAGATGATGTTACGTGGTTTGTCAAAGCAGCATAACAGCCAACATTTAAAGGGAGAACACATAGTGGAAATGTTGCCAAAGTTGATTATTATCTTGATTTCCATGGCGAGAGTCTCGCCGGTGCATCGCAGAGGCATCCTAGATATCTAGTATTCTAAACATGTGGAGCTGTGAGGAAGTCTGTCGGGGAGCTACTGACACAGGTAGAGGGAAACCTGCAACATCAGGAGCTTTACTGCATGCGTTTGCAACACCGACAAAAGTTGTTGTTGCTGAACATAGTGTTGGATGTTTGCGTGAATAAACACAACACATAACACAGTGACTGATCTACTATTATGTGAACATGTGTCATCATCAAGCAGTTGTTTGAAGACCTCATCGGGGATTCCAAAGGACAAATCTTGGTAGCGTGGGACCCCCCCTGTCGCCGGTCAGTCATTGTGGTGTTCACACCACAATGAATTCCAGACTCCCGATTACAACACAGCCAGTTGTGTGGTATCGCATTCCAGCATTCTGACCACTGTGAAAGTCGTGTACAGTGAACTTGGCTTAACTTTGGAGAAATCACTGCGTTTCAGTCCGACAGATTTATTTTGTAACACTGGTTCAGCCTGAAGTGAATCTGAACCTGATAACTAACCTGACCAGGACCAGGCTAGCCTGGAGGGATCACTTTCCATGGTGATTTAGGTCAAACTAACTTAAACTTGACTTAATAATAATAAGAAGATATCTGGCTCTGTACTGTGTAACACACAGACATAATGGTCTGATCTCTTACTCTAAGAAAGAAAGAGGAAAACATGTTTGAACTTTACCTTTAATGTGCTCATGGTTTGTTTAGTCAGTACCGATAAATTCCCTTTTGATACTTGTTTTTTTCCATCAAATGAGGCTTTATGAATCAGTTGAAAAGCGCTGGGTGTTGTGTTTGGATCTTCCAGTACTTCCCAGGCTCCGATGAACCGCTCAAGCTCCCTCACCAGTCTTCACCCAACAGAAGCGGCTCTTCATCGGCCACGAGCACAGGTGACTATCAGCTCCGCAGCTTCCAACGCCATTGTTCCCGTCAACTTGGAGATACTGTGTCTAGTGGACAGTTGGAAAGGTGAGGAAGTGTTTTGATGAATCGGTGTGTGCCGTCTGCAGGCTCGTATGCGGACTACACCATGAACAGCAACAGGAGCGACGACAACACAGAGCGCAGGAACTCAGTCGGCAGGGAGGAGACCCTGAAAAGCTTTGAGGCCAAGTTTCCCCTCCAGTTCAAACCCTCAAAGGTGAGATGACCATGAACACTGATCGTACAGGTTCACACTGTCTGTGTTTGTCTAACCCAACCTTATTGATGCCAACTTCTTCTCTTCCCCCTCAGACAGCCACGTTGCGTACCGGTCTGTCCAAAGTGTCCAGTGTAGACAGTCAACCGGGACGCTCCCAAAGCCCCACCCCCTGCACCAGCCCCATAACCACCACCGGCCAATCAGAGCTGAGGATGACCATTAGTCCCACAGGTAGGGAGCCTCATGAGAGGGACACCAGCTGATACTGAAATCGGCTAGCAGGCTAACAACAGCAGTCCACAAAGCTGTTAATTATACAGCATTTTACTGTCTTCTTTAGAAGACCCTCCTGGTTTCATAAAGTCCCACTGCTGAAGCCTCATGTTAACCTGAGATAAACTTTGGAGTATATTTTTGCACAGAACACTGGATTTTGTCCCCCGTCATATTCTTAATGGCCAGTATGAACAGGAGTACTAGTTACAGCAAGCAACAGTGTACATACGGACATACGGACATGGGAGCGTTATTTTAGGTCAGAAAACTGAACAAACTACAAAAGAAGATAGAAATATTGGGAAATGATTGTGTTACAGCAGCAGGTTATCCACGGCAACATAACATATACACAGTATATTTGTACACAGTAAATATATACAAAATTACACTAATTGTATGTAATGGTTGAGCACAGTTCTTGAAATGAATTGTGCTCAACAATTACATACAATTAGTGTTATTTTGAGTTTAAATCTGATGGGTGGTTTCACACATAATAATACCAAGCAAGTTCAGTGTCTGTGTGCTGCAGTCTGGCATCCTTCCAGCTAATGCTATCAAGATACTCAAATCAGAAAGTAATATGAACACTACAAACATACAAACTACAAATCAGAAAGTAATGTGAACACTACAAATATACAA